TGTCCACCTTCTATATTCTCGACGTCAATGTATTTGCACGTGACGTTCAATGTTCTCAACGTCAATGAATTATTAACAAAACTTCCTACAATCATCTGCTTATAACTTTTATTATAACAAACACTAAACAATAATAAAACATTCACTCACAAAACTAACTTAATCGATACTATCTGAACGAAACAGTCTTTTTATATCATGACAATATGTATTTCATGATTAGTTGAACATTTTTCTAAATTTATGCATTGCATCTCTTCCTTTAAGTACTTTAGTCTGTGTATTTAATTTACGTTTCACAAAACCTGGTAAAAATAAATTAAATAGAGACTAATTTTCTATTGTTAAATTACAAATATGTATGTAAATATTATAATTCATGTTGAAAAATAAAAGACAACCAGTTTGACGTTTCAACTTTATTATTATTTCCAATGAACGATTTCGCCTTTTCTTTTTCTTTCTTTTTTTTTTAAAGCTATATAGCACAATATTCATTTTAGGCATTATGAGAAAAATTTCGATGTATCCTTTCAAAAGTTATTATTATATTTATTGTTTTTCTCGGGATCACTGACCGGAACTCAAATACAAACCAAGAGCAGATGATTTTGAGGCTCTAATTTCTAAACCTTTGCAGCAATTTCACTTGCGATCACTTCGTTTTTTAAAAAACAACAACAACAAACAACACATTAGTTTTAACAAATTAACGAACCAACCAGCATGTCAGTGTTATTTATTTAATGATTTTTACATATTTCAATAATAATAATAGTTCTACGATTAAACTCAATCATATAATCTAATTCTCATAGTCAAGAGGTAAAATACATTTCTAAGTTCCTACTAACCGTCACATGTCTATGATGTAATTATAGTGAAGTTTTGTTTCTGAAATCCGACGTTCGAGTTGGCAGTAGGGGAACGAAGCAGAAATATAGTACTTCGTAGATTTCGCAAATGTAATAAAGTAGTTCTATTTAAAATTACGTTTTCTTTTCTCTAATAAACGTAAAAATAGTTCTACAGAAACATACCAAGATTTAATGTTAAAAAGCAGTTTTTGCACAATCTTTATAAAAAAAAAGAACAGTAATAAATTGATATCAAATAAAAACTGGAAAGCGGATGCTATTGTTTTAAGAAGGGTGTAAATCGGCTCGATTTCGAGGGTGGTGAAGGGAGGTTGTGTGTACGTAACGCAGGACACAGTATAATACTAAACTGATTTTATTATCAGTGTGTTTAATTTTTTCATTAAAATTGTTCGATCAACGAATAAGCTAATTATGTAAGTAGATAAAATTTTATAAATTTTGAACTGAATTTAAGAAAATAGCATCCTTAAAAGCCGTTTTTGCAGTAAGTTACAAGAGTGAAAAGGAAATGATGATTGTTGTTAACTTACAAGTTGCATGTATTTGTAATACTAATAGAAAATGTTTCCCCAATCTTCGTCTTACGGACCTGTATGATCTCGCAGTCTAATACTGCTATTAGTAATATATTAGTGATAATAGTACCACTTATTAGTAATACTATACTCCTTGTTAATAATGTATTTAGTGAGTCTTTTATGAATGTTCAGTGTCAGTATATCATATTTGTCTCATGAGTACATTCTACAAATACAATATGATTCAAACAGCTTAGAAATTAGAAGTTAAAAATGATAAAGTTTATAAATTTATTCTTTTTGTATTTATAAGTTTAACGAACCTTCAACAGTTACAGTTTAAGATGAATTCAAACTGTGTTAGATACCCAGAACCTCCCTAGTACAAGTACTAATAGAAGTAGAATAGGTATTAACTCAATAAATAGATAAAAGTGAAATGCATAAAAATACCTTGTTTTGGGGTGGTTGTACTTAAAGAATAAGATATTTTTATTACTTAAAATATTTCAACTGTTGTAGATTCGAACATTAGCCTGTTTAGTTTTGAGATATATGCAGGAGAAATTATGAGAAACTATATAATTTTGGCAACAAGAGATCATTTGCATCTTCAAGGCTGTTTTTGCACACCCACTCTTGAGAAAAAGTAAAAACTTGCCCTTTATTTTTCAAGAAGTTAGTACTTCCTCCTTTGAACTCTTGTAAAGTGACAACCTCAAATACAACTGATAGCAACTCATTCCTTATATAAGCCAGGCACCCCGTTAGAAACATTATGTTAACTAGAGTGGAACTTAGTCAGTATTTTCCTCATCTTAAATTAGTGTCCTCTCATTTCTGTTGTCTTCAGAACACACCATAAAAAATCAAAAGGTCTTTATCCTTTTGATCCCTTGGATAATCTTGTAAACTTCAGTAATATCACCTGTTACCCATCTCTTCTCAAGAGAAAATAACTTAAGAGATATTAACCAAACTATAAGATAACCCTTACATCTCTAGAATAATCCTAGTAGCCCTCCTCTGAGCTCTTTTTCTAGTTAGCCAATATCCTTTTCTAGATAGGAAGACCAAACTATGCTATTTCAAGTGAAATCTGACTAGTGATTTGCATGACAAGATAACTACATTTTTGACTCCTATTAAAGGTATCTATAAATACATCTTAGAATTATATTAGTTTTGCTACTACCAACAGATTACTGCCTTGATGGCTTGAGTGAACTATCTACACTGGATAAAGATCCTTTTCTTTATATCACGCTATTGAGTTGGTTCCATCCTATGTTAAATGTTTGATTCAAATTATGGTATCTTGGATGCACTATCTTGTACTTGCTATAATTAAAGGTCATTTGACAAACATTTTTTCAACTAACCAATTTATCAGTTCATTCTGAAGTACTCCAACATTGTCAATGCAGCTAGAAATACCCAGGAGTTTGATAAGCTGCCATACAGAAGATCAGCTAGGAAAATCACATCAGTAGCAGTTGGAGAAAGACTAGTTAATTGTGTTGTAAGGTTGTTGGATAAGATAAATTGAAAGATTATTATTAATAATTTTCAATCAAACTGGACCCTTGTAATTAGTACAGTACCTCAGGGGCCAGTGCTTTGGCCTTTGCTTTTTATTAACATGTTCATTGCTGCATAATAAGTTAAATATAAATAAAATTAAACATTCAAGATGTGCCAAGGTGTAATCACAGTGTCTCAAACTCGTATGCCACAAGAGAAATTTGGCTTTGAAACATAATTGTCTGTGACCCAACAGTGGAGCACATGGCAGTGAACATGTTAATTACATTAATGATATCAACATATTTAAGGACAAGAGACCCTTTTGGCCATCAAGGTTATTCAATCCAACTAAAGAAACTCAAAACAAGCCCTTATCATTTAAATATTTATCAAGCCTTCCTTTAAACTTTCTTAAATTTGCTGCATCCACTATATCTGAAGGCAACCCATTTTAAAGATCAACCACTCTGTTAGAAAAGAAAAACTGTTTTAGCCAAGTTTGACTCGTATCCTGCCAAAAGTCATTTTTTGTCCCTGGTCCTAACATTCTTACCATTAAATATTTAAAAAATATGATGCATCAACACTATCAATTCCTTTATGAATCTTAAACATCTCAATCAGATCCCCTCTAACATTTTCAATTGAAACAATTTCCGAAATCTTAACTTGTCCTTATATGACAACTTTTCAATCCCATATATTATCCTAATAGCTCACCTTTGAACCCTGTCCAACAATTCATTGTCCTTATTAAGGTGAAGAGCTCAAAACTTAACAGAATACCCCACATGAGGCTTAACCAGTGACCTATACAATGAAATTATAATCTCTTTAAACTAGTATCGAATATTTCTGTAGATACGACCTAAAATTCAATTTGTCCTACCACTAGCAATATCACATTGCAACATCCATCAAAACACAGAGCTACTTTTCTTTCATAACATTTTTAAAGTTATTCATATCAAAATTATACTTATAATTTAAACTATGGTAACACATGCATTAAGTTGCAGCTATTATATTCCAGAGTGATCTGCTGTTTCTTTATCTAACACACCAAATAATGTAAATCATAAAGCAGCAGCCTCCTCACAACCAGCAACACCCAAAACCTTAATATCACCAAAATTTAAGCAATTTAGTGAAATTTTTTTATCCATGTCATCCTCATCTACATAAACAGTAACACCTTAAAAGAATGTCAAATAATTAATGTTGCAAGATTTTACCCTAATTAAACCACGTTGACTATCCAACAGAATATTTAACTTTGTTAAATGGATTTGAAAATGATATTTTATCAGTCTCTCAGAAATTTTTCTCACCACTGATATAAGACCAACAGACCTATAATTACCTGGACATTTTTTATCATCTATTTTGAAAGGAGGAGTTTCACTAACCAACTTCAAATCTTCTGGCACCTTCCCACTATTCAAGGACTTACAAAAATGTTAGCAAGTGGCTCATATAACCAATCCTTAATCTCCTTCAAAACACTTGGGGAAATATTATGTGGTTTAGGAGCCATAGTATTCTTTAAACTTCCAGATTATTTCTTAACAAACTCAAAATTTATGTGATTATCTTGTTTGATCATGTTTTCATCTACCAACTGTTCAGGATGAAGAATATTACTTTTAACTCTCACTTTTCAGAATGAGTAATAGTAAATTGTAAGACTGATTTGTCTTCAAGCTCACTGAAATGACCTGAATAAAACTGTTGCACTGGAAAAATAAGTATCAACCATCATTTTTGTTTATTGTCGATCAGTGTGTGTATTTGTTACAAGCTGCTGGGAAAGATCCGTGAAATACTAGATACCCGGCCAGTACATAATTTAAATATTGATAAGCTTCTAATATGATAATTTATATATATATAAATTATTTGTGATAATATAATCTTTTTGAAATTATCATTAGTATTGTTATCATCATCATTATTATTGTTTTTGTAGCTGATAAGTGTTCAAATTTTTGGATTTCTGGGCATTTAATATTTTAAAGATTATTCCTGGCACCAAAGTATATATAGCCACTGTGATCAAAGAGACCTAATAATCTTTGTGGTTTTAAAAAGTTTGACTATTAACTTTTTGACTTTTCATAAAATGACACAATACAAGAAAGTCCACATATTTAAGAGTTAATACATAACAGGTCCCTAAACAAAGCAGTTTGTGGTGTTTGTCTCATAAACCATAGACAAGAATTTTTAGTATGCCCTAGCATATCGTGCATATACATTGATGTAGGTTTGTTTGCAGCCATCGCCAGGTTCATTTTTTATTTTGTCTCATATTACATCTCAGTTTCCTCTTTAAATTAAGCTGAGCATTTTGTAAGATTTAAAATAGGCGTAGGCAGTTTCTACACATATTAGTGAATCCATCTAATTTGTGGTGTATTGTATGTTTCACAATTTCAAGCACTAGATGATTAATTATTAATGGATGCTATACAGTAAAGCACATCATTTCATTTCCAGAAATAACCATGAAAAGTGGAGGAAACAACAGCAATTTCCTCTCTAGAAACACTTATAATGATTATGTAATATAATTTTACTACATGCATATAAAAGTGTAAAAATACTGCATCATGATTATGTTGTAAGAGATGCATGTTTTGTAAGAACATTAAGTAACATTTCCTAAATTATTTTCATTTCAAAAGGTTGGATATTGCAAAATTAGTGACATATTAACATTTTTTTCATTAAGTCTTGTTTATAGAAATTGTAAATCAAACTATGTTTGTGCTTTGTTTCTGAAATACAAGCTCTAAGTTTAATACAAATACATAACAAATAATTTACTATTATTCCACACTGTGAGAGTTCTTGAAACTTTCATTTTGAATTTTAAAAATATTTGGGTTGAAACAACCCATGTAAGGAACTAAAGGGTGAAATAAGCTATGCAAGGAAAGTGAAACAGACACCACATACACTGTTATTTGTATGTTACTTTGATAGAACAAACTAGTTTAAAAAGCTCTTTCTAAATGCTAAAATGCTAATACTCATTGCACAAAATTCACAGTATATATATTCAGGAACTACAGTAAAAGACTGACATTTCTCTGTGGCTGTACGGCTTAAAACAAAATATGTTTGTAATAATAAAGTGGACTTAAAACCTCTATTTTTAGATTCAGACTTAAAAGATTCAATATTGTAAACCAATAATTAAAGTCATACATTTAATAAGTTGCCAAAAATACACTTAGCACAAGTAGCAGTTGTTGTATACTTCTGAGCAAGTCAAAATGTTTTGGCTCTCATTAAAAACAAAAATTAAGTTTTTGTTAAAAATTCTTGTTAATTATTTTTTATTCATAGTTCACAGTTTTTTC